CAGCCCCCCATCTCCGTCCCCAACCCCCCATGGCCTCGGAGACCAGAAACTGGGGCAAAGGCGGCCGCAGTGTGGGGCAGAGGGGACGGGCAGGCACTGGTGGGAGGCTGGGCCTCAGGCGGGGCCGGGGCGCCCGGGGCTAGTGTCCCTGGCCGCCGGCCAGCGGCCCCACGGGAGAAAGCCAGGAGGCAGCTGCAGAAGCGATCGGGAGGCCGCGCTGCCAGCCCGAGGGGGGAGGAATTCCTGGGGCTCCCACCCCAGGGCTGGGCCTGGGGTCTGGGTAAGGAGCGGAGTCCCCAAGCCAGGCCAGGGGTGCCAGGAGGTGGGGTCCAAAGGCTATCGGTGTTGGGAGGAGAGAATGGGGTCTCCTTCCTGCCCTTGAGGGTCGAGGAAGACGAGGAGAGAGGCTGGCTGCCTGTTGGCCTGGATGTGTGTGTGTGTGAGTGTGTGTGTGTGTGTGTGTGTGTGTGTGTCACTCTGTGTATATCCCGAGAAAGTCGTTGTGAGTGTGTGGCTGGGCGTGGGTGGTTCCACGTGTTTCCGTGTGGCTGTGTGTGTCGGCGAACGTGTCAAGGGTGGTCGTGACTCCGAGGTTGTGTGACCTGGTGGAATTGTGTGTCTAAGTCCGCTCGTGCCTGTGGCTGTGGCTAGATGTGACTTTGTGTGACTCCGGCGGGACTGTGTAGGCCTAAGAGCGTCTTTGCGGGATTCTGTGCAGCGGATTTTGTCTCTATCCTGTTGTATCGTGAAACGTGCGTGCCTGTGTGTGTGTCAGCATCTGGGGGTGTCTTGCCTCAGTGTGGCTAATTTAGTGTGTGTCTGGGAAGGTGTGTATTGTGCGTGTGGGTCTGACATGGTGAGCCTGTGTGTGAGAGGCTCCGGGCGTGGTGTGTGTGGCTGCGTGTGTGGTTGTACCTGTGTGTGACTTTGTGTGGCCATACAGGACCGTACAGGATTGAGGGCAAGGTGTTGGACGGTGTGACTGCCTGTGATTGTGTCTGCGGTCACAGCTGTGAGCGTGCGTATGTGTAGGAGTGTACCTTTTGTGTAACTGTGTCTGTGTGTGGTTGTATCTGTATGGACGGTGGGTGCGCAAGTGTGCCTCTGTGTGTGCGTGTGTTTGTGCGCGCGCGCGCGTGCGCCGGTGTCCATGTTTGTGACTGCCTGTTGCTCTCACTGTGTCTTTGTGGTTGTGTGACCGTGAACATCTGTGCAGGTCCCAAGTTGCAAACAGGGGCGTGTCTGGGAGTCTGCGTCTTACAGTGCTCGGCCAGGGTTGTGTCCAGACGTGCGCTACTGGGTGGGGGTGTGCGTGTCTGCGTGTGTGCTCATGCGTGCGTTGGCGTGGAGGTGTGGCTGCCTCTGTGTGTGAGATCTCTGAACACATGTGAGTGACTAGCAGAGGGCAGGCCTCAAATCTGGACTCTGCCACTTCTAAACTGTGGGACCTTGGGCAAGCCACTTGACCACTCTTTGCCTCAGTGTTCTCATCTGTAAAATGGGAATAATGACACTATCAGCCGCCTAGGTTGTTGTAAGAGTTAAATTAGTTAAAACAGGCAAAGCACTTGGAACAACGTGTGGCACACAGTAGGTGCTACCTAAGTGCTAATGATGCTTATTTTTCTTGTGTGCACCCGGGGTTCCTCTCTGCCACGTCTCTCATTCCCGTGCTGACTCAACCTCCCTCCTTCCTCCCTCCCTGCCCCATGAGACACACTTTCCCAATCCGGGCCAGCCTGTGTGTTTATGCAGACATCGGGGAGGGAGGGGGGCGCTCCAGCTGCTGGCCCTCCTGTGACCTCGCCTTTCCTCCCCCCAAACAACGTCCCCCACCCCCACCCCACCCTGTCCCCAGCAGCCCCAGCAAGGAGCCTGCTTCCTCCTGGGCAGGGGGGGCCTGAGCACCAGCACCGCCCCCCCAGCAGAGCATGGAGCCCCATGGGGCACCTCTTGCCTGCGTGTCTTGAGGAAGTTCCTTAACCTCCCTGTGCCTCAGTTTCCTCATCTGGAAGATGGGGCCGTAAAAGTGCCTGCCTCCTGGGGTTCTAAAGGTTCGTTCTGTCCTGGATGGTGCCGGTGACTCAGTGATGGTCCCTGTTCTGCCAGTTAACTTTCTTTTTTTTTTTTGGCCAGTTAACTTTCTAACACTCAGTGTTCCCTCCTCCAGGAAGCCTTCCCTGACCCCTCAGGCTGGGTCAGCCATCCCCTCTGAGCTCCCACGCCTCCCTGGGCTCCCTCTTTCCAGCCTGGCCACTGTGGGGACAGGTCTATGTCCCCAGTGGACTGTGAGCCCGTAAGGACAGGGCCGGGGCTGCCTCGGGCTCCAGCACAGGCCCGGCCTGAATGACTGCCCCACCCCCGTGTCCGGCATTAACCGTGACTAATACTTGTCGAGCACTTACTGTGCGTCTGGCACTGTTTTTTAAAAGCAAAAACGTACAAAAAAACCCCCAGTTTTGTTGAAGTATAATTTACATACCATAAAGCTTAACCATTTTGAAGTGTACAGTTCAATGCCGGGCATTGTTTTAAGTTCTTAATATATTACTATATTCACTCATTTATATTCTTTTAATAGTCACAGAAGTCCTATTATAATTTCCATTTTACAGAAGAGGAAACAAGTTCAGAGAGGTTAAGCTACTTGCCTCAGGCCACACAGCTGATGAGGGCAGAGGAGGGATTGAAATCCAGGTCTTCCTGGCTGCCAAGTCAGGTCTCAGTGACTCCTCTCTGCTCGCCCAAGCATCGCTCGTTGGTGAATGAATGAGTGGATCAGCGAAGGCAAGAATGGGTGGACGAATGAGTGAACGAGGAAACAAACGGTGAAAGGAATGAATGAAGGAGCCCGGGAGCCGGCTGCTGGGATGGGTGCTCCAGAGGGCGGGAACCTTGTCTGCGTGTTCTCTGTGGCACCCCCAGCTCCCGGGACAGGGCGTGGCACACGTAAGACTCTTGGTAAATATCGTTAAGTAAATTAAAAATATGTAACGTCTGCTAATGGCAAGAACGTAGCCATCCAGGGTGAACTGTAGTTGCTGGATTTCGGGGGGATCGGACAGGTCCAGGGGAGGAGCTGGGGTGGCAGGGGCACTTGGAGGTTTGGGGGAGGGCACTGCTTTGGAAACGCTTCAGTATTTCACGGTACCAAAGCACACCACTGTATCTGCCCAATGAATGAATGAAAACGTGGAGGGGGTGGTTGCCCCCTGTAGCCAGATGGCTTGAGCGGCTGGAGCCAGAGCGATGGGGAAATTCTGCAGGCTGCGGAGTCAGAGACTTGGGGCCTCGGCTATTTCTCCTAGGCAGGATTTGAATAGTTAACAACCTGAGCATCCGTACAGTCCAGTATCAGTCCAGAGCAATGGAGACTAGGGAATGGCTGGAGGGTGGGGGTCTGATCTCTGCCCCTCGCGCCCCCCAGGCTACGACTTCCCGGCCGTGCTGCGCTGGTTCGCGGAGCGCGTGGACCTCATCATCCTCCTCTTTGACGCGCACAAGCTGGAGATCTCTGACGAGTTCTCGGAGGCCATCGACGCCCTGCGGGGCCACGAGGACAAGATCCGCGTGGTGCTCAACAAGGCCGACATGGTGGAGACGCAGCAGCTGATGCGCGTCTACGGGGCGCTCATGTGGGCGCTGGGCAAGGTGGTGGGCACGCCCGAGGTCCTGCGCGTCTACATCGGCTCCTTCTGGTCCCAGCCCCTCCTGGTGCCCGACAACCGGCGCCTCTTCGAGCTGGAGGAGCAGGACCTCTTCCGCGACATCCAGGGCCTGCCGCGCCACGCCGCCCTGCGCAAGCTCAACGACCTGGTGAAGAGGGCGCGGCTGGTGCGGGTGAGCCGTCCCGGGGGCCGCGCGCGCAGGCGGGGGGCGGGGGTGTTCCCCCACGGTGCTGCTCGTCCCCGATTTTTTGTTACGCCCAGGGTAGTTAGTTCCCTTCAAGGTGGGAGGGATCGCCGCCGTTCTCTGTCTGCTCCGGGTCCCCCTGCCTTCTCTGCCCTGGTATTCCTTCCCTCACCTCCCACCCCGTCCGGTTGTGTTAGCCTTGGGTGCTTCCCACCCCCGTCTCCCACGACTGCTGTGCTACTGAACAAACGCCAGGTCCTCACGGTGGCCCACAAGTTGTCCCCTCGCCCCACTCCTTTCCCTGTCTGTGTTCATCTCCTCTTCCCTTCCCATCATTCATTGTACTTGACCCTGACCACCTCCGTCCTACCTCAGGGCCTTTGCACCTGCTCTGCCCTCCTCCTGGGAACCTCCTCCGCCTCCTGGCCCCCTCCCAGCTGGCTAGCCATGTGGCTCACTCCCCACCTCTTCCAACCCTTTACTCAAACGTGCCCTTCTCGGGGAGGCTGTCCTTGCCCTCCTTTTTATGACTGTAACTCCCCCCTGTGGGTCTTGCTTTATGCCTTACTCTGTTGTCTTCATAGCGTCCTCACTGCCTGGCCTCATGCTACCCATCCACGGGTTTCTGTGTTTAATGTCTGCCTTCTCCACTTGTATTTAAGTCCTACAGAATGAGAGAGCTTTGCATTCTTTCACTGGTGAATCCCCAGCGCCTGGAACAGAATCGGGTGCTCAGTAAATATTTATTGAATGAATGACATTAAACAAACACTCACATTTAACAAACTCTCCTCTGTGCCTGGCCCTGTGTTGGGTGGTGCTGGCGACATAGCAATGACCAAGGCACTTCCTGCCCTGCCCTGCTGGGGCTCCTGGAGAGGAGATAGACCGGCCCCCAGGCCATGATGACCCGGCATGGTCAGGGCTGGCGCCAGGTAGCCGGGGGAGTCAGGGAGGGCTCCTTGGAGGAGAGGGCATCTGAGGAAGAACGTCAGTGTTGAACCCAGGATAAACAGTGCCAGTAACTCAATTTGAGGCTGGGAGTCAGACCGTCCTGGATGTGGGCTGTGTTGAGGAACCTGTGCTTTGTCCTGAGGGCACTGGGGAGCCATGGAAGGGTTCAGAGCAGGGGAAGGACAGGATTAGACTCAAGCTACCTTCTGGAGGGTGGATTCAAGGCGGGTGAGACTAGGTGCCTGGAGAGCAGGGAGGAGGCCGGAGCAGCAAGGAGGGGCCTGAATCAGGACGGGCCTTGGGGAGGGAGAGGAGAGCAAGAGCACTGGTTTCAGAGCGATTTTGGAGGCTGAATGGAACATTCACAGGGTGGCTGCCAGGGTGGAGGTGGGGCAGGAAGCTGGGCAGGCAGGGAAGCCAAGAAGGTTCTGGGGGGTGGAGGAGCCTGAGGCACTGGTTTGAGGAGCAGTGGAGAGGGGTGAGTCAGAGCCCCCACCCCCCCAGGAATGCTCCGTGGGAGGGAGCTGCCCGGCGAGGACGGGCTGCCGCTGCTGGAAGCGTTGGAATTCACCTTTCCCTCCTCCTTGGCCCAGGCAGGCTCGAGTGTCCGCCTCTCTCTCTCCCTCTCGTCCTCAATTTCGTTCCTTTCCTTGCGCTTGTTCTTTCTCTAGCTCCCCGTCCTCGTCGCTCTCCCCCGCCTCTCTGTCCTCCTCGCGGCCTTTCTCAGATGCCCCCATCGTGGTTCCCTTGGTCCCTTGGTCCCTCGGGGCAGCTGCAACCCAGGGGCGCGGGACAAAGGGGAGGGGCCGGGCCGGACACCTGGTGCCCCCGCCAGGCAGGAGGTGGCTCCGGAAACGCAGACAAACCCCGGAGTCCCGGAGCCCACCCCGCCCTCCCACCTTATCTCTTCCTGGCACCTTCTCCTGCTTCCTCTCTGGAAAAGCCATCAGCGCCCTCCCGCCTCCCTCCTCTCTTCGGGGTCCCTGTGGAGCCTCCCGCGGGCCCCGCCCCCTCACCCCATTGGGCCGCTCTTGCGGGCCCCACCCACCAGGCTGCCCCGCCCCTTCCCTGATTGGCCCCTCAGGCCCCTAGGCCACTCCTTCCCGTCTTCCTGCAGATTCATCCGTGGCTCCCCAGTGCCGCTCAGGACACAGGAGCGTGGCACTCAGGGTCCGCTGTGACAAGCCTCGCTGCCCCTCCCCCGCCCCGTGCCCCGCCCCCACCCCTCACGTATGATTCTGCCGCGCTTGGTCCAGTCACCAACAACAGCCACGCTGCTTCCCTCCCTTCGTGCTCTCCCCAAGCTGTACAAGGCCTTTCTGGACTCTCAGTAACCGCTACCCCCCCGGGCCTCAGTTTCCCCGTCTGTACGATGCAGGGGGTGGATGAGTCCTCTGGCTCTGCCCTTCGGCTGCAGTGAGAACTGCTACCAGGGGCGATTCCATGGTCCGATTCTATAGGGGCCAAGATGCCCTGAACCTTCAGACCAAGATTCTCTGAGATGACCCAGTGACGTTCGTTCAACAGTTGCTGAGCGCACGCGACATGCTCTGGCTCCCTTCTAGGCCCCGAGGAGGCAGCGGGGGACAAGCCAGATAAGCTCCTTTGCTTGTAGGATCACTTTTTAGCGGGAAAGCACACATTAAACAAATTAACGGTTGCGAAGAAAAATGAAGCGGACGAAAGGAATAGTGGGGGACTATTTTACCGAGGTCTAAAGGAGACGGAGGCAGGGGTGAGCTGAGTGGAGATCTGGTGGAAGAGTGTTCTGTGCAAGGGAACAGCAAGTGCAAAGCCTGGTGCCCAGTGGCTGGAGGAGACTGGCTGGTGGAGGGTGGGAGGAGATAAGGATTGGGAACCAGCCAGAGGCCACCAACGTTCTTAACATTCTAAACCTATGACTCTTTCAAATAATTTTTTAACAAGTCTTTTTTATCAAACATTTGGGACCATCTCATGGTAAAACATTCATGCTATGTCAGATGTGGCCCATTCCACAGGTTCCCTTCCCTAGAGGCAACCCCCATAAGTAGTTTCTCGTGTCTCTTTCTGGATACATTCTATTTAATCTATTTAATATAATCGTATATATTTACTTTTTTGAGCCTCTTACAAAAAACAGACACACCGATACTCATTATTCTGGCCTCCTTATTTATTTGTCAGTAACTTATAAGATTGTGGCTCAGATGTTGCCAAGTTGATTGGTTTATTCCACAAACATTTCTTGACTGCTTTCTGTCACATTTTGCTGGTGCTGGGGATAGAGGGGACAGACAAGGTCCCAGCCTTCGTGGGGCTCATAATTTTATGGAGGGAGACAGAATAAGTAAACTGGCAATAAATAAAATCCTAGTAAGTGAGAATAATTGTGAACAAAACAATAGAAAATAATCAGATGGTGGTGGCCGGGGCATCTGGTTCCCATAGGATGGCCTCTGTGACACTCTAAAGGATATCGAGGGAGCCAGCTGTGCAGAGACTGGGGCAGAGTTCCAGGCAGAGCAAGGGGCATGTGCAAAGGCCCTGGGGTGGGGAAAAGATTGGTTTGCTGAGGAAGCTGCCACAGTGAGTGAAGTCAGAGTAAGGAGAGATAATGTTGGATGATTCTGCATGAGCCAGATTGTATAGGGCAGCAGCGCTCAGACCTTTTGGTCTCCAGACCCCTTTATACCTTTTTTAAACTTTTTGAGATAGGGTCTTGCTGTATTGCCCAGGCTGGTCTCGAACTCCTGGGCTCAGGTGATCCTTCCTCCTCGGCCTCCTGAGTAGCTGGGACTACAGGCACTCCCTGCTCCCTGCTCCCTTTATACTCTTAAAGATTATCAAGGACTCGACACCTTCAACGCATGCGCCCTGGTGGGCTCGTCCTCGGGCGGCGGCCCGCGGCGCTTGGTGGACAAGGGTGGCTCCCCCGCGCGATGGCCTCTGCACCACCGTAGTCCCGGCCTCGCTCCCGGCCACCCCTCTGGACTGTCCATGAGGAGGTCTCTGTTGACTGTCACACCCAATCTTGGTCTTTCTCCCCTCCCCAGAAGCAGTTTATCAGCTGAGTGTGTCCTGACTTTTATGTTCGTTAACACTCACACGTATGTTAGTATACGGTATCCCTGTCTGAGCAAATTGCAGAACAACATGTAAAACAGCATACCCTCAGACAATAAAAACACGAACTCCAAATAAGTATTTAATGTGGGGACATGTGTGTATAAACATACACATATGTATACATATACGTATGTGTAATATATGAAATATATATGCATAAAGTATATGTTATACATATATGTATACATATTTATACATCTATACATATAAATACATCCTTATGCACAAACCCCAATACAATATATAACGCCCTAGTATATATAAATATATAACATACTAAGATAT